GATTTTGATGTATTCGTGTATGTGGTCTTTTGGCCGGTGCTGAAGAACAACTAAGCCGTCGATACTTAGGGGCACGTTGTCCACCTCTAAAACAACAATGGCATGTAGGAGTAACGTAGCTGGCAAGTGGTCGTTGTATTGATGTCAGCTGCAGCGGAAGCCATTAGTTAAACCACCTCCTCGGGCCAAAATCCAAGGAATTCTGTGTAGTGCCAACTTCTAGGGAAGGTTCTCCCACCGTTTCTTCAAGGTTAAAAGCTTTTGGCTATAAGCAAACAATTTCTTCAGACGAAGAAGGTGCGAGCGCTGGAGCAATGATTTCACTGGCCTGACGCTTCGCATTCTCACTCCAACGCATCTTTAAGGACAGCCGCAGCAAAGGCTAGTATAGGCATAAGGAGCGCAGCATTTATAGGACGCAGTTGCCTGGACATCACATGCCTACAACAATTAACAGCACTCGCGTCCATCACTAGGGACCGTGTTTGATGTGATGACTGCATGTCGGTGGCACCTGAGTCGTTACTTGTCTCGATTTCATCCCCGTTGATTCTTGGGGTGACGATTACTCGGCAGGTTGGCTCACTGTCACAGAAACTGTTGGTCGACTGCACTTCATAAGCCTCATCGAACTCAGTCATCTGAGGCGGTCAACTGAAAGACCTCCCAATCCATCTAGCAGACTAACCCGAGGCCTTATATGGCAACTATGCAGGTTTGATGTGAGACTGGGTGATTAGTCGCAGCGTCTACAAAAGTCCTCATAGGCCATTGCAGACGTTGCCGTCACCAATTACCTTCTTGGCCCGAAATCTCCGGACGCATGCGCAGGATAGCTGTCCGGCAAAATGGATGCTCAGGTTTGCTGTTCGGCTGTGAAGACCCAATTTTCGGGCAAGTGGAAAGACGCATCTTTTCTACAGACTTCTATGTGGGCTAATCGACACGTTGATGGAGGTGGAGATGCAAGGAATAAACGGTCAAATAAACGTGTAATAAGTGTTTATGTATCAGATGTGGTAATACCGTCAAGCATGAGCAATTTTCAACCGGACGCCTTCATGTCCTCTACAAATGGTACCAAGAGGGAAGACGCAGAGTCGGTTAGCAAATGAGGATATGCCATCGTTCCATGTCTAAGACTGTCGCCCACGGGCGACTCTAATAATCAAACCCATACACGGTGTGGCCTTAAACTGATGTGTGACTTGCCCCATGGTCACAATGATGACTGACACCGTCGTCCTTCCACAACTCGGAAAGGTGTCAGTTGTGTAAATGACTTGCTTGCAGTAGCGGCTAAATTTACAGGCACACGCCAACCCAATCAAAAGGATAAGACGGCGGACTCCAATGGAGCGGGGGGGACTGAGCTTGGACGGAACAACCCGGTGATCTACACAGAGGTGTGTGTTTTCCAGTTTTAATTTTTTAAACCAGTCAGATCCACGTTAGCTCCTCCATGGAATTGACTGCTCAGTGCCGATGGCTGCGATTGGTGGGAGTGTGTCGCTATATCATGAGCCCCGGTGTGAGCCAACAGGACTGATAGATAGGCCGGAATAAAAATGGTTCTCAGGGCCTCATGATAATCAATGAGGGAATAGCCATTTCGCTCACGGTTACTATTGGTCTGGAATGACCCGGCATATTATGGCGGACCCCGGAAGTAGGGCTGCTAAAAATCCTGATTGTATCAGACTGCAAGAACTAGGTAAAAACATGGAAGTGGGGATTTTTCCTTCCCTGAGACAAGTATCACTGATTTCAACACACGTGTGTTAAAGTCCCAGGGGTCGACGAGTCATACCGGACAGCCCAGAGCACCAAAATTGGCACAGAGGGTCCCGTAAGACCCCCACGCGGCAGGATGATGTATTTGAAGACCTCTGAGACTCCTATTAGGGCCGCGATCCTCCACGTCTACAGCCTAACTAGATGTCTCATGCGACTAACCGTCAGCAACTGACTGCGTTCCATCCCAGCTCCATCGTACCCCCAGAACATGAACTGGTGGTCCGTACGCGGCCCGGATCTGTGCGCATTTTCGTCATACAAAACATCAGAAATTATCTTAGAAGTTTATGCTAGCTCATGCAAATCACGAGAATCGATTGATTATGTAGGACTTGGCCTTTCGCTGGACTATTCTTTGCGGACAACTTTGTCCACCAGCTTGCTATAGCCGGGCCCGCAACCAGAGTTAACCTACGGGACACAAACATCTATGTGATGGTCGGAGGTGAGTCCCCCCCCCGCGACTCGATACCTAGAGCCACGTGGACATATTTCGCAATTAGAAAAAATAACACCTGGAAGAGCGAGTCTGAAGATAGAGGAGACGATGATATGCAACTTGAGGCAAGACACATAGCCCACAGACGCGGAATGTGGCCACGGACCATCGGAAGACAATAAATGCGGCCCCTCAACGTCAAGTTACGGAAGGGACGTTTTGGCAGGCGGTTAGAGATTATTTTCGAGAGTCAATACATTAGAAACATTTCGGTAGAAAACGCACACTACGACAGACTTCACGCATCCCCTGCCCAACCTTGACTATTTGGTGTCCACTGTGGGAGGGGGAGCGGCGACTGCGCATTTGGAGGGTGGGTTATTCAGTTAATTTTAACTACCCGCAACACATTACCTTCGGGTCGGAGTGGTCTTGTCCTGAAAGACTTGGCATTCGCAGGCGCAATGCCGCAGCGACCATTGACGTAAAATGGACGCGGATTATCAATGTACTGGCCGATATGTAAGCTGAACTGATAGGAATAACAGTAAAACGGCCCACCACATGCTGGGAAGAGAAGCCTACTTTGCAACGGCAACGCCGATCCTTATCATGCCAGTATTAGCGTAGTACAACGTGCATGTTACTTTCCGCTCTGAGATCCGCGCAGCAGACCATGGTTTACGTTGCATAAATATCATCACTCAAAGGATAGTGGCGCATACCAAACTAGTCAGTGTCAGGCTGTGTGGGACTTTTAAGGTGAACCTGTATCAACGATCAAGGACAACTGAGGCACAGTAAGAGAACCACTGGCAAACACGACAGCCCGGTAGAATGAGGACTTTGATCAACTTTTGAACCCTGTATGCCGAGTGCTCCCAACCGGGATCCATTCGGGCGACGCGCTGGCCCCTGTGGATGCATGTCACTGGAGCGGACCTAGTGCAGACGATCCTATTAAAGCGGTAGCAAATCGGAACCGTCATTCAGAGGAGATTAACAGGCGCTACTCACCAGTTACGGTTCCAAAGCATGTTGGCCGATACTAAGGAAACAGATCGTACTTACAAAAAGGGGTGAAGCAGACTGCGCGGACCTCCAGGGCAGCAGATCGCCGAGTAAGCACTACCGTGGCACAAACTTCCTTGAGATTGCAGCTGCTGTCTGTGGTCATTATCATCAACCACTTCCCTTTGTACTGTGATGTTCGGTCAAGAAAAAATAAGCATAACTCGGGGAAGGGGTAATTAGCTTAGCACTTCTTGCTTCGCGAAACTCTAAAACACACTGTCATCGCTAGCAGAATTACGACTCCGTTGTGCAAATTGCCTGTCAACCGGGGCTTTGGTGGTCGCCTAGTTCCTCTATACAATAGGTCCAGCGCGCCGACAACCGTGGCTTTAAAGACGGCTAAATAACGGGATACCTTGGTCGTCCGCGGGAACAAAAGCCACGCCATAATGGCTTTTTCTTAGTGCGGCCTTGGTGAACAGTTTCCTTTATGGGACATGGGGACCTTCTTCGATGTGCAGTTCATGGGCGTGTAGTGGTAAGCAAACGTATGGAGCTCGTAGACACAGATCCGGCTTCAAGAACCACTGTACTCGTACTCATTCTCAGTTGTTTTGACCTCTCTTCTCCCTGGAGAAGAGTGATACATGGTGTGCGCGTGTGTAGCTCCTACCAAGGCAACTTTGTAAGTTTATGTGCTACGCAGTCCCTGGAAGTGTCCGACTAATTGTGCTCGCGCATTATTTTCTGAATCGGGCTCTCTACTCACGTCTCCAAGGGGCCTCTATACAGTTGATCGGGAATCAAACCTGCCAATTGCGCCTATCACATGAGATGGTTCCGAAACGCATTGCGCCGACAAGAAGTGGTCGGGGATGCCACATAGATCGAACTTGGCAATTAAGTCAAGGTGACTAACAGGGAACGCAATGAAGGCCATGTCTAAGCAAGCCCCAACTACTGCTCTGTTTCTCGTTTTAGTTCTGAAACGTCAGATGTGGGCTGAAGAAGGCCCTACCTTAGAATACTGCACTTTGATCCTTCCATCCAATTTAGTTTGCACTATCTCACTCGCGTGCTGGTGACTGTTCTGATTACAGCAAGCCGACTACGAGCGCAGCTCTTGTCCTATGGAGTTCAGAAATTAAGTTGACTGAAATAAAGTGAGCATTTGTGATGCAGCAAAACTCAGGCATGCGGCCCACCGAATCAGTCACGATTAAATCCATCATATAAAGGTGCATACCGTAGACGGAGAAATCCGTAACCGGACATCCGTGTGTTTCAGGAAATGAAGTAAGTAAAAAATGTGACTTTGTTGCCAACATACTTAGACAATCAAATTCTGTACACGGCAAAGTAAAGGATAAACCATTAGGGTTCAGGGAACTTTCGCAGGATTCTGTTAATTTTAACTGAAGATATTCTGCTGGAGTCGTCCTCGGCCGCTGAGGTAAAAAGGCCTTGTCTTCTTTCCTCCTTGCATCTCCGTCGATGGGCCTGAATTAAACACTAAGGCGAGGTACACAACTCACTTCAGCATCCCTCACACAATTATTAAATGTCTCAATCAGCTGTGAACATGGTTTTTCCTCAAAGTCGTTTGTTTTAAGACAGGCAAGCATAAGTACCATCTCCTCAACACATACCGCCCCTTAATTTGGTAAAGTCAGAATAAATCTTACGGGGCTCCTTTTCACCCTTTCCTGAGACCCGGTTCTTTAGGATAGGGTCTTTGTAATATTTGTACTTAAAATATTCTAAATTGCACAGTTTCTTCGTGCTTCTCTTGTACATTCGGCTCAGTGCATCGCTGACTTTCATTGTGGTGCTCACTCTGTCCGGAGCTCGGTCTGTATCGTCTGTCAGGCTCGAGTTTCCTCCACCGACGACAAAGAGCTCTACAAAAGATTGATATTTATATTCGTAGGGGCACCTTTGACAAGATGAATCAAGAACGTGAGAATTCAACAGGTACACGACATGAGTAGTTATTTATTGGGTGGAAGACAGTGTAACAAGGATGTTTCGTCTTAAATGGTGGTTAGATGTTCCTCTGACGGTAAGATCTTTGTCAATCGCAGAGCGAGATGAAGGGGGCTGTGAAGGGAGTGACGCAGTTTTCTGTGATCGGCCCGATAAACCACAAAACACTCGCATTGGTCTGTTAGACAGGATCTCGCGATTAACTTTGGCAAAACAGAAAAGAAGTTTGGCCCGATCACCTCTACATTCTTCGCCTACTGGTAGGTTCTTCCCTCAGTATTCCGGTTGGAGGACGGCGATTCCGTTCAAAGATTCTGCAATAGGGTGTTCGGTGATGATAAGATGCTTAACCGAGAAAATTTGCAATCCTCCTCTGAAAGGCCTCCGGCAAGGACTTTTAAGAGGTTTATGTACGTCCAGTTCGTCCACACAACTTGTTTTCTGCCTTCTTGTGAACAATCAATTGATCGCACACACCATGCGTGTACTTTTAAAAGTGGCACCGCAATGGGGGAAAAAGAGCCCGCCAAGACGACTGTAATCTTTAGTGAGAGTAGTCTCGGCCGATAAAACGTCTTCCCTGTGGAAGAGCACCGCCTCTGTCCACTTGGTGAACTAGTCAACTAAGATTAGGATGTATTGAAGTGCAGACGCTAAAAATGGAGGAGGTTCAAGTATGTCAATTTGCACGCTTGGGAAAGGAAATCTTGAAGACTTTGGGGTCAGCGGCCCCATCCTTTGCCAAATTCTCACCGCTGTTTATGGCTCCACGTTGCGAGCTAAGCACGGTCATCCTAGAGTACTTGACAACAGACCAGCTCTATATGGCCCTGGATGCACCGCTTTCCGAAGATACACAACCGCGAGGATCATTGTGAGAAGTTATAATATACTAGAACCTTCCAGCCCGCAGGGGAAAAGCGATAGATCAGATATACACCAGACCTCGTCGAAATATGGAATTCGCGAAGGCATTCTAAAGTGGACTTCTCCACGTCCGTGAGGGTCTGGTCTGTCCATTTTGGTCCTAGAATGTAAGGCACGGTGGTATGACAGTGAACACAAAGTTGTTTCAGGTGCATCGTCCGTTACTCTTGCAACCGCCGCAGAACCGTCTGGATGTTGTCAATCGCGCTGACCATGGCCTGTCACTGTCATAAATATCCGACAAAAATAGTTCAGCGAAGAGGATATAAAAGGGTTAAAAATATGTTCAGGCAACATTCACTATAAGTACTTCAGCTGTTCCAGTGGTTATGAATGTTCCACAAAAGTTCTAGTTCATGCACACTGTTATAGACAAGGGCGAAAGAGAGTCCATAGCAGTCACCCGGGACGGGGTTGATCTCTTTTGTACTTGCACCAAAAGAAAGAAACACGATTAAAACTTACGAATTATTAAACCAAGACCTGCCTACGGATCTGTTTGCGAAATAAAATCGCCCTCGCTTCTCTTAGATGAACCCACTCCGCAGGGTCAGTTGTTAGGTTACTGGAGTGGTTGGTGACATTGATAGCTAGGGGAACAGACGCGAAAGTACTGGTAAGTTGTCCGGGCAGCTGTGTCGTGGTCTCTGTATGACTCGAATTTGCACAATGTACAGTAAAAATCATCCATCAGCATTTGGGTATCTAATATATGTTGACGGATGTACACCGTCGGTTGCGATGAAGAGCCCTTCCCAAGGGTAGAAGATGTAAGCTTGTGTGCTGATGGGAGGAACCTCTCGATGGTGCAGCACGGAATTACAGCGTTGATGCAGTAGTCCACGAGCCTATCGATCAAGGTAATCTTTTCAGCGCTCATAGACGGTAACGTAAGCGTGTGCGAGCTAAACTATGTGTAAGTCGTAATAGTTTCCGTGGTCCGGCAATGAGTAAGTTTGTCCAGTTTCGGGGGACGGTGTGAAAGGGCGCCTGTGTTAGCAGGTTTCGGGCCTGAAAAACAGTAGCAAGAAAAAGGATGCGGCTACAACAATTGCCATCGACCCACTTGTCGAGTAACATCTTCCGTGGACTGTGCCCATTGAACGGCCTTATGATTAATCATTGCGCTTTTTCCAACCACACCTTGTCATCGCGGATGCAGTTGAATAGGTGCTGAATCGTCGCCATTAGACCAGAGACGCTGCGACAGACTCATGACGCATACTATTCGCTAGCCACCGCGAAGAGGGATCAAGTGGTTCCTTATCACTTCAAACGGGATCTTGATTCTCAAGAAGTAGCGTATTCATCACGCGTTCAGTCGACTGTTGATTTCGGGGATGCTATTCATCATGCTTGCCGCACGTTACAGATAGACGTTCTCGGGCCTGATAACCGACCAAGTTGAACCGCTAACGTACGCATCCGGTTACCGTTACCATAAAGACGGTCGTTGGCAGGTCAGACATACCTGGGTGACACTATTTTAATCCCGTTCACAGAGACAAGTCGAACTTGGGCTGAAGGGTTGGCCAAAAAATGACTACCATCCTTCTTCGAAGCATATTCGGATCCGAAACAAACTCGCTGGGATTTTGTAACAATCGACAGATGTCATCAATTCTGGCCCTCCTGTATCCTCAGCGTTGTTTGATTAACCTAGACGTGATTGTGTTCGGGGATATGGTGAATGAACAACGTAAACTTGACTGCTGTTTTGTTGGCTTTATGCGATGCGGGTCATCCTTGGCACGGACGCCCGGAGGTGTGCAGTAGTTCTTCAGCAGTGTGGCGATGCAGGCAGTAAACGATACATCTATGTTGCTAGAAAAACACTACCTATGCCGCAGCGTAACTAGTGCACGTACCGACGTGGGCATTTTCGCATATATTCGAACGCTCCTCTCCGGTACGCATTTAACAACGGGATACTGGTCAATCGTCAATATAGTATAAAAAGTGTGGAATCCCGTAAATTGTCTAAACAAACTGATACGAAATGCAAACCTGGCACAGCGTCTGCCACAAGACACGAAATGTCACGCTTTGTTTTGCGTTGACGTGGGGTATCAGTGGCTGGCAACCCCACCGCGTATATTCACCCTACACGGGCCCATCCCTGTGAAGGTCACGATCGGATCCATACGTCTAAGGTTCTGTGCGGGGTCCGCTATGAGGTCCGCAAACGTCGGTAGGCAGGCCGGATCACGTCTTGGATGTCGCACGAGTGTGGATTCTTAACGAATAGGAGACGTCCTGTGAACCGGGCCATGGTGGAATTGGTACGACACCACTCGACCTCCCCCCGCGGCGGCTCGTGAAAGGTATGCATCACGAGTCAGAAGCACCAGTCCGTCGGCAAACCGCAGCGCGGCGTCACGCTGGCCTGGCGCCGACGATTCAGAGATTGTTTTAGTGCATGCTTGGTGGACATGCGTGATTGGAAAGACGCTGTAGTTGATAAGACAGCGCTTCGGGAGAGCGGTACACGATAAGCCAGCGTTCAGGGACTCACCTATCTGGTTATCAGCCAAACATACGAGTGCTGCGCGGACTTGCTTTCTTTGGGGTATGTTCGCCCAAAGAACGCAGGCCCTGCTTTTAATAAACTCAACTCTATTCAATTTTCCAGTTGTCTTGACTAAGTTTAGTCGGCAGTCAGTTACCGATACTACTAATGCGTTGCATCCTTCCGCGGGAACCGTTCCCTGTATTTGGCTAACGCTCAGCTTGTAAATGCTTAGCAGAACAGCCAACAAAAACAAAACACAAAGTCGATCCACTCCATCACTCGTGTGATGGAGTTCAGAGGGTCCGCAGATAAACAAGTGCAGGACGAGTTTGTTACCAAATTTCCGAAAAAACAATTGATATGTGTAATGGTAGTGTGGACGCCCTGGAAGCGAAGAATGAAAAAGACACAATGCACTATCAAACATGCTTGAAATTATCAAAATCAAAGTAACATGAAAATGGTTAACAAATTTTGGACGCACTGACATTACAACGATAAAGGGCTCAGACGTACACACAGAAAGTACGAAAAGAAGACACCTATGTGCGTGAAGCCGGAACCGCCCAGGCAGTTTGTGTTGGCAAGTTCAGTTCAGTATATTGAGGGAACTAGGCGTAAGCCTTTGAATGCCCTATATACAACGTAAAAGTGTACAGAGAAATTAACTGGGCCGAAATAATTCAACCAGCCCGTGATGGTATGACAAAAAGGGAGTGAGTCTCGGGGGTTAGCTCGGTCTCTGATCGCTCGTGATCATTTCTGGACATAAATATGTCGAGGTTCTTAAAACTTTGCGTCGATGGTGAGATCACAACATCTGCGGTTAGGGCATTCCATGGTTTGACCACTCGAACAGAAAAGGAAAACTTCCGTAAATCCAGCTTTGCCTGCTGGGTGCGCAGTGTAAACGGGTGGCCTCGGAGGTTGGTCGTGGTAACAAATTCAGAAAAGTCCTCTAGTGTCAGGCTGCAATCCAAACCTTTTACAATGCGGAATGCTTGCAAGAGATCCCCGCGAAGTTGACTGTAGCTCAAAGGGAAGATGTTCAGATTTACTATGCGGGTAAAGAATTCCAAAAGATCCCCAAAGCTTTGGAGGCTCTAGGACGTCTACATACGTGTGGGGCACATGAGACGATTCTTGGCTTCTCTGCGCCACGCGTAACACATTATAATGAGGACAACAAGGTTTTTATCTTAAGACGTTTGGGAAAAGGTGAAAAGGAGGCGTCCCGCTGTGCAATTTTTCCGCCTGACGGCACAATAGGGGCTGCGGCGTCGAAAACCCAGTCACAGCTCCGCTGTCAACCCCTGTATAATCCCTAATCGCAACCTGAAGCCCTACGGCGTTTTAGGGGTTTGGTAGGGCTGGTGATGGCAGGGGTGGCAGGCCACAGTTTAACCCGCACGAAGCGACCTAGAACCCAGAGGGGAGAGGTTGAAATTTAATAGCAGGTTGCGTGTGGAAAGGGGCTTTGACCGCTTACAAACTTCGTGGCTCTCTGCTGAACTCTTTCGAGGCAATTTTTGTCTTGATCCGGCCAACGGTCTCCAGGCTCCTATGCCGTATTCTAAATGCGGCCGCACGAATATTCCCAATATTTTTCAGAGAGCGTCTTTGTCAAAATCCATTAATTCACGCTTGATGGCGTAGAGTACGGACACTGCGCTTTTTGGCACTATTAAACATTGGGCAGATGGTTTTAGGGAACTTTTCGTCAGCAAACTGAGGTCTTTTTGGGTTTGGATGTCTCGTAATGCTGCAGCGCCCAGAAAGGAGGCTCTTGTGCTGGTGGATATATCTGTGTTGCCTAGGTGAAGTATGTTACATTTACTAAAGTTGAACCGCATGAGCCAACGGTTAGATCACTCCTTCAACTGATTTAGGATCCTCTGCAGTCTGTTTTCGTCGGCAGAGTTTCGAATTACACTCAACATCTTCGTGTCGTCTGCAAACACTGCTACTTCACAGTCCAAAGCTCTTGCACAATTGTCGACGTATATTAAGAACAAAATGAGTCCCAGTACTAAGTCCTGTGGAATACCACTCTCGACCACAGCAGTATCTGATTTCCCTTGACCGATGCACATAACCTGCTGTCAAACCACAAGGAAGTTTTCGATCCATTTGAGGAGGTGCCTCTGATCCCTATTTTTTCATTGTGTGTAGCAGTCTCTGGTGTGGCACAACGTCGAACGCGTTCTGGAAGTTCATGAAAACGATGCGGATCGCGTGCCCGCAATCGAGAGCTTGGGTTTAGCTCTTCAGGACGTTCCTTTCCGGAACCCATGTTGGCAGTTCGATAGCATATCTTGAACCACTAGTAATCGCATCAGATAAGATAATTTTATTAAAGACCCGTCGGGGTCTAATCAAAGCAAGTTAAAATAAATTTACCTGTGAATTTTAGACGAGGTAGGTAGAATCTTTACAAAATGCAATTCATAGTTTCTGAATTAGTAGAATTAGTTGACTCTTCATGATCCTGTCCATAACTTTGCAGAGAATGCTTGTCAAGGTTATGGGCCCGTAATTTGTCGTCGATGCCTCTCTATCTGCTTTGTATAGAGGAGTAATACGCGCCAGCTTCCAATCCGTGGGAAGTGTTCCAGTGTCAAATGACGTTTGAAAGTGCATTGATAAAGGCACCGAGAGCTCATTGGCTAGTTCTTTGAGAAACTTGAGTGGAATCTTGTCTGGTCCTACTGACTTCGATTCGTTCAGTGCCTCTAATTCTCTTCGAACAACACCTTCTGAGAAGAGTTAATTACTTATGCTTGTAGTGGTCAGTTCTTCCGTGGATTGAGGAAGGAACCTTGCCTCGTCTGTGTAGAGTGATTAAGTGACTGAAAAATGTGCTGCTTTGTCCCTGCTGACAGCAATCCCAACGTCACTTTTAGTCCTAATCAACGGGGTTAAGTTTCTATTATTCATACTTCTTCTGAGGTAGCTCTTAAGAATTTTGGACTTTGTTTTGCATTTGTAGCAAATTTTTCTGAAATTTGCAGCGCATGTTTATAGGCATGCTTCTCAACTTGTTTCTTTGTGTCTTATAAGTGTTGCAATGCTAAATTGCCAAGTGACGCATTATTTTCTCCAAAATCTGTGCTCATGTTTATTTATTTCTTAAGGCTGCAATTTAGCGGCACATGCCGCCTGTTCTGTCTTACGCTCTTCAGTGGGCGGTTGTTGTTGATCAGCTGCAGACGGACATTCTTGAACAACTCCCAGTCATCATTGGCATTACCCGTAAACGTTGAGCTTCAGTCGAGACCGGATAAGTCTGCCCTCATTTCATTGAAGCCACCCCGCCAAATGTTGCGTCTCTTTTAGTCTGAAGAACGCAAAATGGAGAATAGCGACTAATCCCACATAAGCACTCTATGGTCACTGCGGCCGAGTGGCGGCAAGGAAATGACCTCGTCTATGTTGTCTGATGATTTCGTAAAGGCTAATTCCACGCAGTTAGTCCTTTGTCCTCCACGCCTTCTCGTTGAAAACATTACGTGCTGTTTGAGGAGCGCCTTTAAAGTTTTGTGCAGCAAGCCGTAGTCAAATGTCGATTTTGGACCTGACGCTTGGACGTTGTTCCAGTTTATTCCTGGTGCATTGATGTCTCCCATGATCATGATGTTAGGTCGACTGGAACATCTCTCCAACCCCTCCAAAAATGGGTGTCGGCGATATGGCCTATCCCATGTGGTCGGTAGACACTGAGGCCATTGAGACACGGGTAACCAAGAGCCTTGATGATTGACCAAATAGCCTCCGTGCTGCACGCAAACTTGGTGGTATTCTCCGACACCGAAAGATCTTCCTTCAAATCTACGACTATACCACCACCCTGAACATGTGCCCTGTCCTTTCGATAATTTTTTCCGTCCAGTCATAATTATTATATTGGTTACACAATTCGAAAATTTTATTTCGAATTTCGGATACCTAAAAGCGCTTGATCGCAATTATTTCTCCTACATACTAGTTAACCAGAGTGAACTCAATTGACTGTCGTACTCGTTGCATACAACGTCAAATATTTTTCCCTACTACCTGGATCGATCCAGCTAGCAATGATACAGTACGGATCCACACTATATCTTTTTGGACTATTTCTGTAAAAGGGAGTTAAATATAACTACTATTATTGCTAATATTGTTATCTATTGTAACTAACGGCACGCCCATCTGAGGATACGTTTTGAGTCAAAACTAAATCCGATAGTTTTTCCTTCCCGTAAATGAAACTTATGCGCAAAATAAAAATGAAACATTGATTCTAAGGCAAGGATTGGAGCTGGAAAGCATGTAGGCGTCAAACACTCTTACAGAGCATAAAGATTCGATCAAACCTGGCTAGCTTACATGAAATACTCAGGCCTAAACACCTGAACCGAAAACAAGTACTCAGGCTAGGACACAGAGGATGAAAACTGACTATTGTTTGCACGCATAAGGAATTTTATCTTGAATCTGAAATAAAGTATGAGAAGTTCAGTTTGCGTTGTATTTTTACAAGTTATTGAGGGGAATTCTGTGCTCTTTATATGGGCTGTATTTCCCAGACAGAAAGTAACACTTTTATATTGAAAATCCGCAGACAGTCCGAGGCGGGGTAAAAAATCTTTGTTAAATTTTGTGAAAACGCATTTAAATTATTCGGTACACGTGTCGCTTTTCACTCAGCTTATGCAATTGGACCGCGCCATTGGTCTCTATCAGAGAAAAGAGTCAATTCAATGAAACCTGTTGGAGAATAACGAGGCATTCGATGATAATTCAACAAAAATAATTAAAGTTGCATTATTTTCTACGGCAACAAAGCCTACCAAGTCATCGAACGCTAATAATTGGAAAAGATGAATTATTCTCAAAAGATCTGTCAGAAAACACAATAAGGCCTCCCCGTTGTTTTTCGACGGGGACGCTGCCACTCCACTTTATCACAAGGCCAACTCAACTGGAAAGTGCCTTAAAAAGTTCGTTTATGGAAGAGGACACGGCAACTGTTCGTATGGTGCATTACATCAGGCCAATGAATGTGACAGTTTCCATGCCGAAGCCAGAATCTCAAACAACAAATTTAGATCCTACTTCCCAAGCGTCGGAAGAAAATCCGTCTAACGTCGGTGCGCCAGCATCCATCGAGAGCACCACAGTGGGATCATATCGTCCCAGCGTGGGTGAAGCAATAAAGTAAACCATTAGCAAAATATCACAATATGGGGTGTCCCAGAGTCTACGACCTGCATTTAAAACAAACGGGTGACACATGATCTAGACCTTCGCCAGGAATTTGTCAGCGCCGTCCTGAACGACGGGAAAATATTCACGGTAAAAACGCTTCTGACTAGACAAAACACACCCAGACCGTGACCTGAAAACATCCCAAAGACCCCTAAAGGTTATTTTAAAAAACGAAGCCCAAGCAGCGCTTCTGTTGGAAGGTAAAACGGCCTTAGACAATTCACATGGGGAAATGTTTTTTAAACCAGACTACAAAATGAGAGAAGGGCTGAAAAAATAGAGAACTGAGCTCAGAATTGAAGGAAAGAATTGACAGAAGAGGGAAAGGGCCGAAAATCAAAAATGGTCAAATCATCGAGACCAAGGAGTCTTTTCTGTGATCAAAACCGGTCACAATGAACGTCGGGCTTCACCGACGAAAAAATCGTTTAGATTTATTTCCGCAAACGTACAAAGCCTCCTCATCAACCTCGACGAACTTAGAGACTTGGTTGATGAAATTAAGCCGGACATTATGGCTTTTACCGAGATGTGGATTTCTGAGGATATCGCAGATTCAGAAATATTACCTGCAGCGTATCCTGCCCGGGCCGTCAGGACATCATGCCACAAACGCGTGACAAGCGAACGATCAAGGTCATGGCCCCCTGTTCACACCGTCTTTATGCTGATTGGCCACCCATCAGCCTATGACAGTCCCCCTTGCCATATACCCGGCCGTTTCCACAAGCCTCCTCACTTGTGCTGTCTATCGTACTCAGTACACGGCCTATTTCCAATTAGCCTTCTGTTTTGCGTACATAACATTGGCGACGCAGCCTAACGAACATGTCTTCATTGCTGCCTACACCGCTACCTTTTTGGCCAAAGAACACCCCGAAGCCCTCAAATGACTCGTGGTTTCAATGGAGGAAGACATTTGAGGATTATATTGAACTGCTCCCTATATTGTCACCCACAATTGTACTAGACGTCCCATCTAAGTTGAAACTCCTCCGGACGAATCTCGGAGAGTTGGGACAACGATATTTCGATGCCCTCAATCTACAAAAGGCTATAGATCTCCAAACAGCCTTCTCAAAACTCGACTCAGCGTGGGGAGGAAAAGACAGCGTCTTTCTCAGTCGCTATCGGTTTTGTCAAATGCGTCAAGAATCCAATCAATGTGTCAGTGATTTTATTACTAATCTGACTCTGGCCATTCAGGACTGTGGGTATAAAGAGATCAAGGCAGACAACTTCGAGCACGCAATGCTCGTTCAACAGTTGATTGTCGGTCTACGCGATGAAAAAGCTCGGGAAAATCTCTTATCAGAGAAGAAGGATTTGTCATGGGAGAAAGCCTGTGATATTGCCAGTCATCAGGAGCGCGTGCGGCAAAACCTTCAGCAGCTGAATCAGTCAAACGATGGAGTGATATCATCCTTGGAATCGGAAATGGCTGTCTCCCTGGTCAACACTGCTGTGTCTTCACCTAGACAGCGACTCTCAGCTCCCTCAAAACAACTACCATCATGCTACCGTTGTGGCCAGCATCATATCCGGTGGTCAGACTGTAGACATCAGAAGACGGTATGCCATTTTTGCAAGAAAGTCGGCCACATCGAACGAGTGTGTTTCTCCAAAAGACGAGCGAATACTAACACGCATGCGACCTACCCTAGTCCAGCTGGGGATGGTGAGGCGATACTCCGAATGTTTCCGGCCAACGCTACTCTCCAATCCCCCTACACCATCACGCTTCCGGTTGATCACCATCCCGTGAAGTTTGAAATCGACACTGGCTCAGCTGTTACTCTCATCAATGAGACCTCTCTTCAGAAAGTACCCTCCCTCCTACCGGCTAGCTCAACATTCCGTAGTTACACTGGACAGAACGTAGACGTTCGAGGGGTCTTTACAGCCGAAGTCGAACATGATGGAGAACTTCATTATTTGCCGGTTCATGTGGTGAGAGGAAGCCAGCAACCGAATCTCCTTGGACGAAATTGGATTAAATGTGTGCCTTCATGGCTTTTCCTATGTACATCGGATTGGTGTAAATCCGGCTTTAGATTCAATTTTGGTAAATCAAAAGAATCTATTTCGTGACGATTCAGCTGCCCACTACCGCGGTCCACCTGTTAAGTTTCAGTTTCAGTCAGATTTCCGGCCCCGGTTCTTCAAAGCTCGTACAGTCCCCTATGCACTCGCACCGAAGGTCGAAGAAGAGCTGGATCGCCTACAGAAAGCGGATATTATTGAGCCCGTGCAATATTCGGAATGGGCAGCTCCAATAGTTCCTGTTCTTAAAACCCATGGTTCTGTGCGTATCTGTGGCGACTACAAGCTGACAATCAACTCAGCAACTAAACTGAACCCTTATCCTCTCCCGCGCATCGAGGATCTGTACGCATCTCTCTCGGGTGGTCATCAATTTACAACTTTGGACCTAAAGCATGCCTACAACCAAGTCGTCCTAGATACTGAATCCCGAGACGCCACCACCATCAATACTCATCGGGGTTTATTTCGATATAAAAGACTACCATTTGGAGTAAGTTCGGCTCCCGGTTTATTTCAATGCTTGATTGATAATCTCGTGAAGGATATACCTCACGTTTGCGCATATCTTGATGATATATTAGTCACCGGCCCATCTGACGTTATTCATCTAGAGACTCTAAACATCGTGTTAGGACGTTTAGAGGACGCCGGTTTTAAACTCAGGAAAGATAAGTGCACGTTCCTTGCCGACTCGGTAGAATACCTGGGCTTCAGGGTGGATAAAATTGGCCTCCATCCACTCGAACATAAACTCAAAGCCTTAAAGACGGCGCCGCGCCCCAACAATACTAGTCAATTGCGTTCATTCCTGGGGTTGGTCACCCACTTTAGTCGCTTTATGAATCAATCGGCTACAATTCTCAAGCCTCTTTATCGACTACTTGAAAAGAATTGTGGCTGGCACTGGTCGGAAGTCGAACAAAGTGCTTTCGAACAGGCAAAGGCGGCTCTTACCTCCTCATCTGTCCTAGTTCACTATGACCCCGAAAAGCCTATCATACTGAAATGTGATACGTCTCCGTACGGCGTAGGTGCGGTTTTCATGCACCAAATGCCTTCTGGTGCGGAGATGCCGATTGCGTTTGCATCAAGAACCATGTCACAGGCGGAAACCAACTATTCGCAACTAGATAGAGAGGCCTTAGCAATAATGTTTGGCCTACATCGCTTCCACCTCTATCTATTTGACCGACCCTCTGAGATTCACACTGATCACAAACCCCTCTTAGGTCTGCTGGGAGAAAAACGAGGGATACAACAGATGTCCTCGCCGAGAATGCAACGATGGGCACTCACCCTGTCCGCTTACACGTATGCAATGAAATACGTTACAGGTAGTGCAAACGTAGTGGCTGACGCCTTGAGTAGGCTTCCTATTGTGGACGATGGCATTAACGGGGCACCTGCTTTTGAGACGGTGAATCTTTTGCAGAATCTAGTCAACGCGCCTGTAACCTGTCAACAAATTCGACAGTGGACATCAAGAGACCCTCTCCTAAGTCGGGTAAAAAGAGCCTTACAATCTGGCTGGCCGTCCTCTACCTCCTCTGATTTTCAACCATTCTTCAGCCGTCAGAACGAGTTAAGTCTACAAGACGGATGCATACTATGGGGCAATCGTGTAGGTAATGTTATCAGCAATGAAGGAGATAAGAGGAAGAAGACACAATCACTGGAACAAGAAGTTTATTGGTCTGTTTCGGACTCTCACTCGAGTCAATCATCTGCAACAGTCTGTGATGATGGGTTCGAGGGAGAATGCAAATCGTCCGGCCCATGGACTTCTTGCTCCAATGATCGCATCTTCTTCTGAACTGCCTCTTGGAACTCACATGTTCGCGTTTATCCGCAATACAGGAGAGAAGAACCAAGCCGAGGAGGTGGAGTAATAATTTATGTCACTTGCAAGCTGATCGATATGGCTGAGGTACATAAACCGGTACAGGATGTGGAACTGTTAAGCATCATCATATCTGATAATTATGCCCGACAACTAACGCTATCGGTAGTGTACCGCTAGCCCAACCAGACTCCGAACCAGGACTTCATTCTCATAACCGAATTGTATAAAGCCAATGAGAAGGAACATGCCCTCGTCGTTGGGGATTTTAACGCTACTGGCATTGATTGGCAAAGATGGACTGCGCAAGAGCCACAACACACCTTTACTCACAAGCTACTACAATGGGCAATAGATGAAATTTCTGCCAGAACGTTGTCTCCCAAACGCGGGCTAGAGAAGTTCAACGGTCAAACTGCCTTGATCTTATTTTTGCTCGAGAGGAGGAAAATGTGTTAGACATGAAGTACCGGCCGCCATTAGGGTCAAGTGGCCACATTACGCTGGGCTTCGAGTATTCACTGTTTCCCGAACCAATTCTGCCCGATGGTGGAAAAAAAAACATTTGGAAAGGGAACTATTCTCTCATGAGGAGGGAGTTTTCTGCGGTATCATTGGAGACTAAACTGCATGGTGGAGCAAGCGACAACTGGAAGACATTCAGTTCCTTGCTGAAGGCGACTGTTGATTCCAGCTCTCCTCTCAGGAGAAAGGCAATTGCAAGCCACTTAAAGTGGAAAGACTCGAACATACAGGCCTCTTTCAAAAAAGAAATCGTCTTTGGCGGCGTCACAGACCAACCGGTCCCGAAGAGCACTTACGAGAATATAAACCGCAACGCAACATTTGTAAAATCAGGGTTTCCAAGCTGCGAAGGGAATTCGAACTGAACATACTGCAAAATTCGTTGGAACACCCAAAAATTATATATTGCTTTGTTCGAAGTACTAAGGGAGCTCAGGAGCTCACCCCTGCCCTTACGTCTTCAGATGCAAAACTGGAGACTGATGGCCGGGTTAAAGCGTCCCTCCGTTCAAATTTCTTCCAGTTTGTCTTCACCCGAGAACCTAGTTCTATATTTGCCCCTCCACCCGTTCGACAACCACTGTTTCCTCTTACTCCCCTTCCCGTCTTGCCCCCTCCCTATCCTCCTTATTCGATGAAGGACACTTTTCGTCGGCTATATCCAGACCGAACTACTTCGACTGAGGCCTGCCTAATCGCCTGACCTGGATATGATTCCCGCACTAGTACTGCGAGAACTTGCCAATGAACTGTGCGGACCACTGGTTATAATATTTCAAAAATCATTTAAAGAGGACGAACTCCCACAAGAACGGAAGTGCGCATTTATCACCCCGATCCCTAATGGAGGTTCACGCCTTGACTGCGAAAATTATCGTCCCGTTAGTCTTACTTGCATCGCCTGTAAAATAATGGAACACATTATCAAAAGACATCTGATGGAATACCCGAAAAAAAACAAAATGGAAATTCAAAAAAGAATGTTTAAATAAATCAGGATTTGCTTGTCATCCCGAGTGCTGACTCGAAATGGGCAACGGGGGAAAATGGTGTCCACAGGGTTATGCTTTAGGCCCACTATCCTTCCTGATTATATTAATAATTGCATCCGCGAACCAGATATCATGGGCTACCATGTTTGCAGATGACATACAAATATGACGCGAGGACAAGTGCGATGATGACGTAAAGAAGTTGCAATCGAACTTCGATTAAGTGAATATTTGGTAAAACAAGTGGCTTTTAAAGTTAAGTGTGGCCAAATGCGTGGTCCTACACTTTGCCATCAGCCGAAATGCCTCCTCCATACGCCAGTACTCTATTAACGAACGGAATTAGAAATTGCAGAAAGACAAAGATATGGGTTTATGGGCGACCACAAATCCAATGCCATCAGAACACTGCGGAAAGATGGTCTAGAAGGCAAAGTGTACTTTTCACTGGGTCAGATGTGCATGTAAAATATCTCCTCCCAAATTATTTGGAGGACTTATCGGTGTCTTTGAAAGATTCCACCTAGAATCTGGAATTCCAGCGGCTTCACCATTGATGAGGAAGGACAATGACCTGCTCGGACAAATGCAATGCAGTGCAACGAAGATAGTCACTGGCCTAAAACACTTGTCGTACTAGGAGAGATTGATTGTGTTTGGTTTATTCCCTCTATCCTATGGGCAACTAAACAGCAGTTTGCTCTGTACATTCCGGATTGTACGTAGTCAAAATTGTTCGCTGAGAAAGGAGTATTTTTGAGTTTGCCAGTACAAACCAATTACACCGTCACACTTATAAAGTCAAGAGCGAACGCACGCGGCTAGATCGTATGAAATCCTCCTTCATCCAACGGGTTGTCCGACCATCGAACTCGCTATCAAGTGGGATGGTGACGGCCGGCAAAACTCACATGTTTAAAAACTTGCCTCCGTAGTCTTCAACAAAAACTTCCTCTTACAATATGAATACTCATAGTCAGTCTGGTAAAACACTTTGTCATACATAATCTTTCCGTACTGACTTGCACTGAACGCATGCACTTCCTTATTCTTACGGTTCTTCTGTGATACGGACACATAATAAATGTTTGCAACTTTATTTTGAGTGCGAATATGCGAAATCATTGTACATAAATAGGGTCACAAACAGCTCTGCCTGTAGCCCATCAAATACAAACCATTGGAACTAATCGCTGGTACAAGTAACTACAATGGGCTCACCCACTGCTCGGTGAGGCCAGTCGGTTTACAAAATCCTGGTGAAGCGTTGAGACTAAGTGGTCAACTTTGTACCTCTGACCGTTCTAGCTAATGTGCAAAGGGGGAGATTTGGTTGACGTCCCATGGATAATCTGCTTTAGAGGCAAATGGCAGATGAGCAGAATCATGTGGTGGCTTTACGTTTGTTAGTGGGGAGAAACCATTCGTTGCAGTGGAGTTTTATCTCGACTAATAAAAGGTTAATTTCTCCGGAGATATTGAGCTGAGCGCTCCAATTGGGAGAAAATAAAGTCCACTTCTGTCGACGAAAATAGTTTGACAACAATTGGTGGATATTTGCTCCTAAATGAAAGTCTTTTAGCTTCAGCAATCCTAAATTTGAAGCCACATGAATAAAGAAGGTGGAAAGTGACATCGATTGTCTGTCTACTCTTAGGAATATCTTTAAAAATAAAGTTTAAACTCCGTTTGTGCCTGTCTTCGGTCTCACTAGCAACCAGTAAAATGAGAGGCATGAGCTTCTCACATTGCTGAGACGTAAGTTTTGGCAACTCTCCTTCAAGAAGGGCACCAAGATCAGGAAAGATTGATCCGTAACGAGGCATAAAATTGTTAAAATTATCGAGCGCCCCTAGGTCTATTTTTTCACATGTACAATGGGTTTCAAATGGAGTTTAGTTTTCTTCAGATTTCGACGAAGGGTTGCCTGAGTTCTCATGTCGAAAAAGCAAAGCCAGATTTTAGTCCAAAAATTTATGGTGATGATAGCTGCTGAAACTTCGAGGATATAAGGATGAGGCTATGTAAGATGAAACAATTTCTGAAAGCCATCAATATTGGTGGACCAGACAGCAAATTGATACTAAGCAATTTCTACTAAATGACAGAATTCAAACTTTAAAAAAAACGGGTAAATGACATTTTCGTAGGTGGCAAACCATGACTATGAGTAAATTTGTATTGGATAGGGAGGCTATGTAGGATAAAATAGAGAACAGTATAGTTCTCTTACTAGTCAATAAATCGGCAATAAAAGCGGTCAGTGGAGACGTTTGAAATATAATGTTATTCAAAATTTTTCGAGGAAAACCTTTTATATATGCGGGTAAAACTTAATAGGATTGAGGCTATGTTGGGTGAAAAACTATGGCACTTTTTTCCGCTTTATGATAAATCGACAAAACACGACGGAAAGCTAAGATGACTTGCGACAAAAAATAGGAAATTTTTTGCCAGATCTACATTGGAAAACTCTGTAAGAGATTCAGAAATCGCATGAGGCTAAATAAAAACGAATAGTATTCCAGGCCAGGTCTAACGTAATGTTGTAAAGGTGCATTCTAATATCGCCGGTTTTAACGTTTCAAGGGATAAACCCGGTCGCTCTACGTGCTTCGGAGTCCTTCAGGGCACAGTGCTCCTAAAGATTGAGACTCTCGGCGTAATATACATCCAGATCCGTTATAGCTTTGGGCATATATATTTCGTGACCGTCAATACTTAGTTGAGGTTGACGGTCGTCGCTGACCACCATGACTGAGCATGTATGCCAAGAAAGAGAAAGACGCCATGTGCGACACCACTGGGCAAAGGCCTGTAGGTCGCTCTTTAGAAGCTCAAGCACGATGTCACGATCTGCGAGCTTATACGTGTATATGGTTTTCAGACCATCAGCATACATGAAGGGCTTACCATTCTAGAAAAATCTGGTACATCGTTAATATAAAGGCAATCTAATGACGGGCCGAGTACACTATCCTTAAGTACTCCACTTCTCACACATGAGGGGTTGGAGATAGCATTGGAAATTGCCACTGCGGAATGCCACTGCGAGAAGCAGAAACGCAGTAAGATCTCGGAGTCTGGGGTGCAGACAGTCTACAGCCTTCTACACAATGTTGTTAGGCGGCTAAGGCCGCAACTTTATTGCTATACGCCATCAAGCGGTCATTCGCAGTCTTCGATGAAGACTGCTTCTCCAAAGTCTTCGGCACGTTTGTATGGCCGCATCTCGAATATGCAATTCAGGCCTGGAGACCGTGGACGCAACAGGATTACAATCTGCTCGAAAGGGTGCAGAGGCGCGCGACAAAATTAATAAGAGTTCAAAGTGCACTGCCATACGAGATCCGCTTTACTAACCTTAACTTCTATCCTCTGAGTTATAGGCAGGTGCGCGGAGACTTGATACAAACTTTCCGTATCGTGCGTGGCTTGGACTGAGCCCTTCGGTGCGATGACTCTTCCAACTCTCCATTATAACTAACCTCCGGGGACATCCCTCCAAGCTACGTGTGCTCCAGGGTAGATTGAATATGAGAAAATATTTCTTCTCCAACCGTGTCGTGGAACCGT